TTTCTTTTCGAAACCGTACGAGAACGCCAACCAAATTATTTGTAAGATCAGGTCCCCTGAGCATCACACTGTTTAGAGAAACATTGTCATAACTCGCAGAGGAGTCGAACACACATCTTACTTTGTCTGGTTTTTTGGGATGGTAGACCCCGAACACAGGTAGGTACCAACATTCTTCATTATTCTTTAGAGGAGGAGCCAACTCTGCGTGTTTACAGTCAAAAAGTTTCTGCATAAATGTAAATATGTGTTCTTATTTTACTGTATCTCTATGAAAACTTTTCTCCAATGACTTAGCACGATGCAAAACCATTGCTCTGTTGTTTGGAAGACGTCGTCTCGGAGTGCGGAAAGGTAAAGGTGAACACCAGTTACCATCTTTGTCCTTCTGGAGATTAGTTTGCATTAATGTCAAAAATTGTCTATCTTCTATAGATAATCCAGGTTTGTCGTCTTGTACAGTGCGTTCGAAAATTGCACTTGTAATTGTATCGTCTTTCTTTTGAGAGACTCCAAAGTTAACACTACCGCAGCCAAAACACTCATGAACGTCATAATTGTAAGGACAAGGTTGAAGGATCGAAGCTCGAACATCTGGTGCAAGATGTGTCAGATATGCAGTAACATAATCAGGAGCATGTATTCCGCCTAAGCACATGTTTCCTATAACTACCCAGCCTAGAGGAAGTTTTTGTGCGAACGGAGCATTTCGAGGTCCAACAATTTGTTCTAAAACATGATGTGCTTCTGTCATGTCTCTTCCAATGAGAAGCATAATTTCACAATCTGGGTCCAGTGGAGACAAGTGATCTGCCATATCTTTCAAATGGTTATGTCTGATAGCAATATCCGGTGTGGGTGTTTCCTCTCTGTTATGCGGTAGATCACTACATTCTATTAACGTTGGTAATTCCAACTGAACCTGTCCATCTAATGACTCAACTACAAAGCCACTGGCTCTACGTCCTGACATTTTCACACGACCTGAGCATGAAGATAACATATATTCTTCCAATGTACCATGCACTCCAAATGTGTCGAAAAATAATGGTGATGCCAATGAGCGATTACTCTGGTCGTCTAATATGATGTAAAGTTTCAAGTTATCATATCGTCCATGTTGTCCAGGTCTAAAAACTCTCACTGGCAAGATTTTTGCGCATGACCTTCCATGGAATGATGTCCCACAAATTTCTGTGCACTTAGTTGCAACATTGTCATTTTGAATATCTATTTTTTCCTCCCCGCCGTGGACAGGCGAACTTGATTTATTATTATTCTGATCTATCGAGTCGATAGAGCGATTAATATGTAATGCTCCAGGATGGCGGCCACTGCCACATTCACTACATCTAATTGCGTTAGTACATGTTCGTTTCACATGTTTTGTCGATTCACAACAACCGTAACAAATTTTATGATCATTGATAAACTTTTTACGTACTTGGAAAGGATTTGCTTTGAATGCTCTACACTGGTTTAACGAATGTCCGGTTTTATGTAACAAACATTGTTTTTGTAAATCAAGGTCACTAGAAACATCCGTTTTGTGAACTGAAATAGCTGTCTTATATTCTGGTGGTTTTGCAGCTGTGTATGCTTTTTTAGGTTGGTTTGTCTGATCATACGCGAAACTGGGGTCGTTTCTTATCTGGCTCAATTCTCGAATAAACTTCACAAATAATGTAAATGGTGGAAAGGTAACTTGTTTTTCTCTTTTATACTGAGATGCTCTATTTGTCCATTTTTCTTGTATGTTGTACGGAAGTTTATTCAGTATAGGGAGAACTCCGGACGAGGAGTCAAAGTACGCTAACAGTGAATTATATTTGACATCTTCCTTAATGGATTCTATTTCAGAAAGAATGTCTACTAACTCATATAGCTTTTTGTTGTCTTTCTGTGTTAATTTCGGGAAATTGTTTAATTTGGCCATTAATGACGCTTCAACTGACTCTGGAGAACCGTAACGTTCATCTAAGCGTTCCCATAAACGTTGTAATCCTTTCGTTGGATCATGAATATTTGATGCTCTAATACTGTTTGCATGCCGTGTAAATTCAGGACCTAACCATTTCACCATAAGATCTAACTCTTCCATCGCTGTAACAGAAAGTTCACTTAATATTTTTTTGAAACTAGCCTTCCATACAGCGTACATTTCAGGTCTATCACTGTAAGTTGTTAATCTTGATAATAGCAAATCTTTCTTTAGAAGGAATCGTGTGAGATCTGTAGCAATATTCTGATGTGTGCTTATATCAGGATGAAATTGAGGTGCGTTCTGATGTGTGCTTATGTCAGGTTGAATTTGAGGTGTGTTCTGATGTGTGCGTATGTCAGGTTGAAATTGAGGTGCATTAGGATTCAATGCATGTTCTTGAACTTGTATATTTATATCGTTATCATTACAACCGGCACTTACACTTGGCACATCATATTTTGGGCGAGACGGTTTTGGTGTTGGCATAAGTGAATGTTCATGGACTGCATCGCCTGATGTCTGATTTGCAAATGGATCACATGGTACAATATTATCGTCTGGCGGTAATTTTACATCTTTTACTTGAAGTACCTGCTGTTCTACATATTGATTAGTTAGTTCATAAACAGTTTTTGATAGAGGAAGATCAGATTTTTTACTACCGCAAACATTTTGGTCATATTCAAGCGCATCTGCCTCTGCAGTAGCGGCAGCGGCTTCCTTCTTATAATTGAGCAATTCTAATTCAGCTTCCAACTCAGCCTTTTTAGTAAATGTCTTTGCATTTGAAACTTTTTCTTGTTCTTCTATGTGTGCCTTCTGTTTCTGTAAATCTGCCTCTTTCATGGCGAATTCAAGCTTAGCCTGGGCTGCTTCTGCCTTTGCACGCTTTCTGATTGCTACAGAGCTTGAGTTTGAAGAAGTTCTAGACTGTGCTTGGGATCTATGTGATAATTTAGATGCTTTTTCGTCCTTGTCTGACACTTTTATTTGTTGAAGTGCTCGTTCTAAAATGTTTTTGTACTTCGAATCCTCGATTTTGTGCTCCTCATACACTTGGAGACTTTCCTCTGTCTTAGTGTTCTTAAGAAATTTCATATATTCATTTGAATAAAGACTGTATTTACAGTAACACAAATTTAAAGTTTTCTTTAATTCTATCAATGTGTTGGTGTCTTCTAGTTTTGTCGTAGAGAATCTCTCAAGGCAAAGTTCTACTTCAGTTTGTACGAGTTCAATCTTCTTTGAATGAGTATTCACGTTAGCTCTATAAAGGTCAAGTCCACGTTCCGTGAGAGTGCGTTTTCTTGGATCCGTGTTATCACCATTCCCATGTTGTGAATCCATTGTCTCGTGTTTTTACTGTGCTGTTTCTAGGATAAACAACAAGAATTTTAATTGCACAACTTTATTCATATAAGGCACCGAAAAGACATCAAATGGGTGCGTAGTGCATCATTCTAGTATAAGGTAAAAACTGAAAAGAAAAAATAAACAACCTTTACAATATGATCAAAACATCATAAAAGCATTCATAAAATGTTTCTCTGCTCAAAAATACAATGAAAATGACAAAAATAAAATATTAATCAAAAATGTCCCAAACGGCGTGCCATACATACTACAAGTAGTGACGAATACATAAATGTCACGAATGGCGTTCCATAGATTTAAAATTTAACCGGGAGTTTCATACACAACTCGTATCTCAAAAATTATCTTTACAATAGGAATATCAAATAAAAAACATTAACGGGGGTAGAATAAAATATGTTTGACAATATTATCAATATAAAAAACTTACCACGTTACGAGACAGTGAGGAAAGAACATGAAATTATTGTCACAATGTTTTCAAAACAAAGCAGGAAGTGATGTGATGTTACAAAAAATAGAGTCAAATATGGAACATTAATTCCGGAATTCCGGAGACAGAACAGAACTATTCATAAACTCAAGATAAAACGTTCTGAAAAATAGTAATAATGAAAAAAATATGTAAACAGAATTATCATGGGAATAAACTCTTCAAGTACCAACTTTGATTTATATTTCTACTGGTTGTTCTATGGAACATGACGATTCCTCGTAAATATAAACAACTTGTCAAATGAGATCAAAAGAAGACTATCAACATCGATTGATATGCAGCAAATACTCTTCTGAATTAAAGTCACTTGGATAAAAATTGTAAAAAAAAAGTTTCGTTCCCTAAAACAAATTAAGATGCAAATAAATTTACTCCATAGTATACAGCATATTCAGATTTTACTTTATTCTAAAGGAATGGCCTCTCCTCTTTTTATGCTTTACCTGCAAGGTTAGGAGTCGGGCCACTGATTTATGGCTTCAATGGATATCTATGATTCCTAAAAAAGATCATGAATTTATCATTTCTTTGAAGTTTGGTTCCAAAGAAGTCGAAGTATATTTGATTTAGTCGTTTTCCTGTGCATTGTTTTTATGTGTTTTGCCTCTATTGTTACAGGTAAAGGTAATGGGGTAAATCAGAATTTTCAGTTTGATTTCACGCTTTATTCCTCTCAGTTTACGTGCACACGCTATTGTTCTGGAGTCTGTCCTATAGAAATTTGTTTTTAAAGTACTCAAATCCTCTCTAATTTTCTTTAGGACATCTTTAAATATAAATCACGATTTCCAATTCTCAAAACTTCAATTGCATACGCCGTTTGCAATCCGACATCTCTCCGCGCCACATGGCACTGCTGTTCATATTGAACATTTGCGCATGCACAAATGGATGGCCGAAAAAAAAAGATTTCTAACTATTTTTCGGCTAGTCAAAAACAATAGACACTCCATACTTTATATATGTACACACGTATATATAGAATAAGAAGATGTGTTATGATTGCCAATGCGACAACTCTCTACCAAATGACATAGAAGTGAACAGCTATTAATAGTAATAGGTCACCTACGGCCTTCAACAGTGACCAAACATGTATACACAGTAAGCTATAAAAGGCCTGAAATAACAAATGTAAAACGTATATGTCGTCATAAGATAAGCTTTTGAACTAATTTTTTAATAGCATTTTTAGTCAAACAATTTATGCAAAACATTCATTTTCATGTACTAAAGTGTATTTTCTGGACTATACTGTCAAGTCTGAACAATTTTGGGTCCGGTATTTGGCGTCCCTCTTTTATCACTGACTGGAACATTCGGTGGTGGAGGTGGTGGTGGCGGTTGATAAACTGGTTTAGGTGATGAGTTTCCTACAGGAAAAAATCTTCCTCCTAAAAAAAACGGGAGTACATTTCACATTCAACACTATCAAGAGACACATATTATTTTGCTACAAACCGCTGGTATAATGCTAAGCTTATACACATCAACTGAAATGTGTAGTATGTTGTAAAATTGTATCTGTAAAGTTATAAGAATGATTGTCCAGCGACCAATATCATATATTTATACTGACTTCAAGGATCAGTTGATATGACTGTAATTAACATGGATCGGATGACATAGAATCAGAAAGATAGTTTTAATATGGTCCAAATATTTGTATTTAAACTTTCCAAATCTACAGACTTCTCATGGAGAGTAAAAATGTATTCATTCGATGGTTCATATGTTATATGTCTCACTCCCCATTTTTTACCACTTTGAATGCTACGATTGAGAAAAAAAAATGCAAAATTAATTAGATAAAAAAATAAACAAATCGAAAGTTTAATCCAAAAAGGACCTCCTTCTCTTATTTCACAAGTGTTTATACAGATGAATTGTAATATTCCTAATTTGGGATGGACTTTTGTCATTAAGATAACATGTTGAACATTTTATACAGCGACAAACATCTCAACGAGTTAAGACATGATGATATTTCCGATTTTCAGTGTCAAACCCCATCGAAGAAACAGCCGGATACCAGAGACACTTTGCGCATTTGTGTATTTATCACGACGCAGCTGTGTAGCCAAAGTAGATGCAAAGGACGTATACGGAAAGGTTAACTCAAGTTGAAAACGAAAGTTTACTTGAAAACTAGAGTACTGCGAGCAAAGCTCACGAAATGATTGATCTTTTAAATACATGCTTTTGATAGTGAAATGAAAAAAAAAACATTCAGTTGAAGAAACAAATGAGATGTGCATAAGTCAACCACGTGAGTAAGGTTCTCTGATAGTTTCACAAAATTCTGTCAAGCGGTTCAGGAGCAGATATGGTTATAAAAGTGGGGCAGAAGGACGAACGAACAGACGGACTCCTCTATCACTATATACCACAAAGCGGGGGTATAATAAGCACAATAAAGTGTACGTGGTATCTTGGTTTGAACGAACCTATAGTTTTGTGCAGATAAAATACAATGTACTCATTTTCATTCAATGTGAAATGTACGAGAACCCGTATCAAATAAAGAAAAATTCCTTTTACAATATGCATGTTGTATTCTATCGTTAGAGATGCAAAAAAGATGTATCAAAGTGGTATTTTGAATACGACACAATGACAGGTAATCTAAAAGTATTCGCATTTTGATACAAACAAGAACTTCTCGGTATATTATATTATACTGAATGTTAGTAGGGTCTGGACGGGGTCCTTCATTTATGTTTTCTTTAGGATTTTAGGTCGTTTTTCTCTATTCTTTATAATTTTTGCCCGTTATTCTCCTTTCTTTTTTCTTTTTTTAATTTAGCACCAATTATCCTCTATTCTTTATTTTTTTGCCCTATTTTTCTCTATTTTTTCTTTTTTTCGCCCATTTTCTCCATTCTGTAAACCCCGTCCAAACCCTCTGTTAGGGGATTACCATTTGCTATTCGGTTGGAGGGGGAAGATTTTTTTGCGGATGAATAATCATTTCATCTGTTTATTTTCTTTCACGACTTCGCCCGGCGAAAGTTTATTTGCACTTAATATGTACATATTTTTTTCGTGCATATTGTGTTGCAGAACATTCATTTTCATCCTGGTTATTTATTTACTGCTCGTTCCAGACCAGGATATTCATTTTCAAAATCCCCCTCCTACCCCCCACCCCCGGAAATCAAATGGTCACCCCTTACGACATTATAATTGTAAGTAAAACAACCATGTTTTTCTATGTATAAACAAAGATTGCAAAATATACGTATACATTGTACATGCGGTATGGGTTTTACTCATTGTTGAAGGCCATACAGTGACCTATAGTTATAAATTTCTGTGTCATTTGGTCTTTTGTGGAGAAATGTCGCATTGGCAGTCATTCCACATCTTCTTTTCTTATATTTACATATAAATTTATAATTATACTTAGTTACATGTGTGACGGGATTGCTTCCCTTCATTAGTAGATACTTAGTCAGCCGTAAGCGGTTGAGCTAAGGAAGTACTTCTTTAGCTCAGTCGGTTAATGCGCTTCCTTGTAACACAGAGGTCCCGGGTTCGAGTCCCGGTGGAGACATGCGATTTTGCAAGTAGAATCATGCTCTCCGGTTACACATGTACACAAAACTTAATTTATTTCTAATTTCACCTTACCTGGCATTGTACGTGCGTGTTTTTTTTTTGTCAAAATTATTTCACCCGTTCCTTCTAATAGAAACTCAAAGCTGCATGATGAACTGATAAACGTTTGATTTACTGAAAATTTTCGTTACGTTGTAAATATGTTAAGCAAAATCTATAAATAGAACATGGGAATTTTATTACGTACATGTAACGAGTAATCTTATCAGAAAATTACTGTTTCTCATAATAGTTTAATACACATCATCCTTTAAGACCCCCTCCTTTAAGTTTAGCCAATAACAATGAACAAGTAGAATTATTCTCCACTTCATTATTTTTCAATTATCACAAGACAATAAGACAATATTTATTAGCACAAACACATTTACAATAAATGGTTAGGATTGATCGATTGATTGATTGTTGTTTGCTTAAAGTCAAGTGACTCATATTTCACACATACTCAGGACAATAACTTCAACAGGAACAAAATATTGGCAAACCAATAAACGTTACCAGGGTTCTGGTGGGAAGATGCTCGCAATGAAAACAAATATATATATTGATAGTTAAAAAGAGGCATATCCATCGGAACTTTAACAATAATAACTTGCAGGGATAAAATGTTGGTCAACTGATATGCAAGGCGGGAAATTCGTACTTTCACTTAAATGGAGGTAAATGTGGTAGGGGCAGAAATGTTTCATAACAAAAGGTTAAATACAGACCCGTCAAAGAGTTATTGAAAGTAAGTTAGAGTTTATTTACATGAAAGAGCATGACACTCTTCCAACACGGGTCGTCGGATTTAAGGGAATTTATATTTCCCGTCGAGAATGCATATTCATAAATCCCGCAAGTACAAACGGACGCCACCTCAGCGGGTTTTGACTTCCGGATTGAAGATGTACATGTCCTGGCTAACCTTACATTGTACTTCTATTTGGGCAGATGACAGATAGTTCATGGTCACATTTATCATATTCATCGGTCTATACTGGTTTAAGAGATCGACTATTATTTTATTAAAAGAAAAACAACAAGTAAAATAGTAAAACTTTCTACCTTTTGAGCGGTGCGAATACTCCAGTAATCCTTAATTAACTCTCAAACAAATTTTCAGACAATACGAAGAATAATATCAGACGTATCTACAGATGCTGTGCTCTTTCTAGTCGTATCCAGCTATTACCTGATCTGAAGCTATCGTTTAGTAGACTCAGTTAAACACGAGAAAAAAAAACAGCCTAAAGAGGCCAAAGAAAAATTGTATTCCAGATCTAGCATTTTTTCTATTAATTGATTTGATTTTGATTTTTGGTGTTTTAACGCCACTTTTAAGCACCGCTTTTGGGCTATTTCGTGGCGGCCAGTTTTTATTGGTGGAGGAAGCCGGAGTGCCAAGAGAAAACCACCGACCTTCGATAGGAAAACTGACAATCCTAGTCAATTAAGATTGGAGTCGAGTGCATCCGCACGAGAGGGGTTCGAACTCACAACCTCAGTGTTGACTGGCTAGTGATTACAGTAGTAACTAATTAGACCACTCGGCCACCGAGGCCCCTTTTTCTATTAATAAGAAAGGTCATAACTGATAACTTAATCGACGCTTGAAGGCTTATGTCTTTGCAACATGTTATGACGGATACCTTTTTCGCAATTAATATTCACGATCTGTGACTTTGTTCGTGTACTCATATAAGAGGATATCTCAATTTGACATATTGTGGACTTTTTATATTCGCGTTATCTTCTACCCGTGAATGTCGCGAGCATAAGTTGCTTACGAATACAAGTTGTTTTACAGCACTGTTTATCACGATAACCACATTTCTATATGTAACTATTAAGTAAATAAAGATTGACACAGATACATCCTAAGCTTAATTACTGGAAAAGCAAAATGGAATAACAACTTAAATTTAAACTCGGAGCAAAACATCAATGACAGTGTCAGACCAATCGAACTGATGACAACCGTATTTCATTGTTTGTTCGGTAATCATGACGACTGAGTTGTTTTAAGACATTTTCGAGAATGTGTTGTTGATTACAGATCTTTGATAATTCCTGGTTAATCTTTTCACAACTGTTTTTTTAGCAGGGCGATTAGGAGCTTGTCATAGTGAAAACCCACTCGTTGTTCGTTTGAGACCGCATTTTGGTCTCTAGAATTTGTTTTTGTGATTATAGGTTACTGTCTCATTGAGGATTACCTCTATCAAATATTTACATGTCTCCATTATATTCTTTTAAAAATGCTTCAAGGATTTTCAAAGCTTTTTTTTTGGCATGTAATATAATATTTGATATTTAAGATTTGAAAGCAAATTTAAAAAGTAAACAACTTTTTCAGTTGTACTATAACGTTGTACGAACCGGCTTGATCTTTTAAGTTCCAAGTCTCATGGAACTTCTAGTTTTTGTATAGACGTAAAAAATCTTGAATAAAATTAACATATCTTGTTAAAACTGTTGAAAATGTATTATGCATGAGATCTTTATATCAAGTAAATTACCCGGATATCTCTTTTCTCTTATTTAACTCGGTATGCTCGTACTCATGAACTCGCAACTATTTAGTTCAAAAGATCATAGGTTCGAACCCAGACCGGAAATATGTATAGGTTGACACGTCCTTTTTAAACAAAAATTGTGTCCTGTAAGACGTCAGATAAAACATTCAATTTTGTATAACAGTCTATATAATCGGTCTAGTGCAAGTTTAAGCAGGTGTGTGTTAATAATACATAATAATTACTGTCTTGAATATACAGGTAACATTAGCTGCTGGACGCTAAGAATATATTAGGGGGCGCATTACATTTGCACGCAATTAAGGGTTATTTTTTTACATTTGCGCGCAGCTTTTGAATACATATGCACGCATTAATTTCACAGGTAACATAGGTAAAATTAAAGATAAATCATAATAAATATGACTATAGTTATTATATATTTTGAACCTACTTGTAAATTCGAATTATATGCTTTTCATATTGAATTAAAAAAAAAATATATAAATTGATCATGAAAAATCCCGTAATAGCTTAAGACATGCATGTAACTTAAAATGTATATTTCAGAGTAAATAGTATTTATGTTTCCTAATTTTATCGAATAATGACCGCTTAAGTGTTATTTAAGTCAGTTTGTAAAGTTGCGTCTTCGCACAAACATTGAGTTTCGTTTGTCGAAAACAAGTCGGAGGAACGATTGATATACTTTCCGTATCGACAGAACGATAAAGGCTTGGGATATTTCACGGCAATGTATCGTAAATAATTGCAAAAGTATTTCAGGAGATTCCCTACCCCCCTCCCCCCTAAAGTCTTTGGGCAAAACTACCGTCAGAAAAATCCAGGCGTACTACAAACGGCCCGTAATCATTTTTTTGTCACTACAATGAGCAATTTTATTAAGCACATTAATGTACTAATAGTATGTTTGTGTTTTGTGTTTTTCTTAAAGCAGTGGGCGCCATATATTCAGAACGTTACGACATGTAAAATCGGTTTTTTCAATTTTTAGATATATGCTATGTTTTTACATTTTTATCTGTTTATATTTCCGGGACTAAGTGCTTGTACATAATAAAACGGACTTATCCTGATCGAAAATAATAGTTAAATGAATAAATAAGTATAATCTACCTGTATTAACATGACTTTACATGACTGTTTTACCTGTAAAAGAATGCGTGCAAATGTAATCAAAAGCTGCGCTCAAACGTAATGATTTTTGAGCGCAATTGTAATGGTATTGCGCGCAAATGTAATGTACCGATTTTAGATTGGTTCCCTCTGTAAAATATTCAGTATGACTTCGGAATATACAAATCAAGCTAGTCATAAACGGCCGGGTACCAATATAAGAATTTACAGTTTCAAGATAGCGTTAGCTACAAAATAACAATATAAGTGTCAACAGTTTAATCCACTGAAGTAGAAATTAACTCTTGTACAGTTGAAAAAATACGTAAAAACAAACATTTATTTTATTGATATTATTCAATGGCTTTGTTCTTCAATTCACTTTGAGATAAAAAAAAAAACAGCAATACAAGCGCTGTTCCTTTGCTTTTTGTGTTTTATTTGCTGTGCATGTAATGATTTTGTGGGGAGGGGCTAAGGAGTATTTTTCTTTTTCATTTTTGTATGAAACATTTTAATATCAAACTAACATATATACCCAAAGAAATCGGCTTGAAAGCATTTATTTAGATAACATGTAAAGTATTTATTGTTCTCATTATAACAAGTTAACTGAGGATATTATCATAAATCATGTGACCACGACATATTTCTTTTACTTCCGTATCATCTTTTTGAAGTCATGATAATTCGTCCCATCTTCCCACATTGTACCATGAATGATTCGCGTTATATACTTGTTGTAAACTTTCCAAGATAAGTTGTTTTCTGATTGGTAATAAACAATCTTTGAATTACCGTTACAGTCATCAACAAAAACTGCAACAGCGACTTCTAGAGTGTCCTTCATTGCAGACCAGGCTGCTGGTTTGATGTTGTCAACAACATTTAAAACTTCTGAATCATACATTTTACACATCTTTCCTTGTCCAACCTGTATTCCATATTTATCAAAAAGCGATTTGACTTGAGACACCATGTCGTATTTGTTTTCAAAGTCTTTAAGTCCGATTATAGTGTTCCATACAGTCCAAAGGTCTTTCAAAGTGTGAATTTCGTCATATTTTCCAACGGTAAACGAGTTTGCTCCTACAAATGTATCAGAAATTTTCCATGCAGGATCTGGTGCAACAAGAACTCTGATAGTTGTATCTGAAGTATTTGTTATATTCATAGAATTCCCCATTTTTCTGAAACAAGTATGAATGATATAGTTTTCATGTTACTACAGATGTATGTTATGAAGGTAATATGAGTTATGAAAAGAGCGAGACGAGAATCCGTGGACCAGTTCTAATTTATATCAATTTTACTATTTCGATCAAATATTTTATACTTGGTATTCAAGTTATATAGAAACGTTTTGTACAATGATGGATGACACATCTAAAAGACAAATCTTTTACATGTGTTTCCTGCTAAAATGTTTAATTTAAATGCAAATGTTTATGTTGACATTACTTAATGTTTAAAAAACACTTTTGATCCAAGACCAATTTAATGCTGTTTCAAACGAAGATTTTTTTTTTTATTCATATAGAGTGAGAGACCTATATTCGCCGCATAATTCGTTCATTTCCACTTACATCCGACCTACATTCGAATATTTGGAACTTTTTATGAAGGTTTCAGAAATTTAACTATATGGAAAAAATGTTTGATAAAGAAATTATCTTCAAAACATTGGTTAATTGTTCTAAAAACGAACGCAAACTCAAGAGGAAATCAAATTGTTCGTGTACCATGGGGGACACATTTTCGCCGCAAAGTATGATATGGCCATCCTCATTATCCTGGTATATTATAAAAACGAATGTTTGCAATTACATGAATAAGCTTGAGAGATCATTCCTGTACAATTTTTCTCACAAATATTTACTTTAAAACTGCGCATGATTGCCATATAAATCTTACATAATTGCCAAAATCATTTAAAAACACCAGCGTATTTCTCAATATGTGCGAATAACCATGGAAATGGGATTAAGAGGAATATCAATAGTTGTAACATTACAAACAGCCTTTACCATCTATTTAGGCAAGTATTGGGTAAAGGCACACAAATTTTACAGAAGAAATAGCAAAACGGCGAAAATGTGTCCAAGGCGAATATACGCCACCCACTCTAGCTCCTAGATAACTATTTTTTTCTTGCTTTTACCTTTAGAAGTTAAACAAATGTACTATCAAAAAAGATACCATTTAACACACAGAATAGTAATAAACGTTACCTGATAATGCTGTTCCCTTTATAACTTATGTTTTTATTTAATCCTGTAAATGAAGATAGTAAGTGGTGATTAAAAATTAACAGGAAATACTTACCATATATATTGTACTGTCTTAAAAGAAAAGTAACATAAATCCAAGCAAAAAGGTCAAAAGAATTAGTGTACTAGGATATGAATGTAAAATGTAATTCGAATACAATACCTCTTTGAAGAGCCTCTTTGTTTTAATATTAAAGTTTATTTATCATTTCCAAAACCTATTTACTATTGAAAAATATATATATATACATAAATAGATAATTTTTATGTAATAACAATTATTTGTCGTTTAAATTACTTATCAAATCCTTAAGCGTAATTCATATTTACTGCTTTAAATTTCATAGAAGTAATATATTTGATACTTTCCAATGAATAACAGGCATATTTTCGCTGATATGGTCATACTAAAAACTATTATCTAAAGAAAATAAGTATCAAGAACTCACTTAATGATAAAATAAAATAAAACCCGAAAACAAAATTCGAAGGATATTGGGGACAATGAATGGTCTCTTTTGAATCCAAGATTATAAAGAGAAATCCCAAACTACAACATTAATGAAACCCCAAATAGATAATAAAATATTAAATAAGAATACAGAGAACAAAAAGTATCTTGATAATAATATAGATGATAATCAGTCAGGTTTTTTTTCATTCGTTGATGTTTAAATATAATAGTATAATAGTTTTGGTAATTGTAGTCATACTTCTATTTTGCTTTGATAATATCATGTTTTTATACCAGTATTTTTCTATCAATATATTTCTTGGTTAAGAAGTTTTACGCTTAATTTGAATTGATTTGATTTGATTTTTTAGTCGTCCATTTAACATATGTTTGAAAAGGATATAGGTTTAACTTTGTGAATCCTGAGTGCGTTTGAATCAATCTTAATTGACCAGGACTGTCATTTTCCCAATCAAAGCCCTTTCTCAGGGTTTCCGTCTTCTTCCATCTTTAAAATGGAGCCGCAAAGGGATCCTTAAAGTGTGACTTTAAACACCAACCAGTTATCACTTAAATCAAACGTTAGTGACGCTATCTATATGCTATAGTTGCACAGAAATAAAGATTGTCTCCGTCATATTTACATTATTTGATTATAGGCATACTCATAATTTTACTGTTATATTTTCTTACTACCTATAATAGTTTCAAAGATAATTCACAAACACTTGGGTTTAAGGGAAGTTACTTCTAAAAAGGATATTCATTAAAAGTTTCTAAATAAAAGAAATAATTACTCTTTTCAATAAAAAGATAAAAGAAAATAAATCAAGAATAACAGGGACCAAATCTTGAATATTAAGGTAACAAACTGGGTGTAAATAGTTCATATGACACACCGATTTATTCTTCGATTATGTATATAGAAACAAACGAGGAAACTACAAATACCCGTACAATTTTTCAAGTTGACCTAAACCGATTGTATATGTTCACTTTTAAAAAACCAACGAAAAGAAAAAAATCATCCAATGAAAAGGATCAACAAGATGTCTGAATTTATTAATACACAAACAAAAATAAAAGACGAAAATAGCGGTCGACAGACCACTACTTAATCATAAGCATTTGTGCCTGACAGGCATATTAACTTGTGAGTGCTCATACCTGGCCTTTTTAAGGGCGGAAATGTGACAACAAAACAATATAACAAACTGGTAAAGAAAGATACCAACGGCATATTCAAGCTCATGGACAAATTGACAATGCCAAAGCAGAACAGAAAAACGACGAAAAGATAAAAAAAAAAAAAAAGTCTAGAAAACACAAATAGAAAATTGTCAACTCGAACCCCATCAAAAACAAATATCTTACACCTAACTTCATGACAGTGGTTACAAAGCAAATTGTCGAAATCAATTTAATTTTGAACTAGCAGTCCACAGCTTCCACAATAAAGTACGTTATCTTTTGATGTTGATGTAACTGTGTCCTAAAACTATTACAATGTCATCATATAAATTACATTGTTTCAACTACAATCGCACGCCAATCTTTATCATAAAGGACAGTTGATTGGACAAAAGTGATGGATTTCCACGCCTATATTAAACTGGGGTCCTATGAACTGACTTAAGATAGCTGTCTATATGAGGGAAAATATTCAAGATATAATTAGACATTTAGTTGGGAACCAGTATTCGATATTTGAAAAAAAAAAGTTTTATCTCAAATTGTTTCGGTATTAAAAGTGTTGAGTAACGTAGTGTAGAACATGAATTGTATATTAAGTTTGGGAAGTCGTGTACAAACCCCTCCCCCTTTTTAAAGTCATTCCACATTAAGAAATACAAAATCTGCAGGTTTTGTGATCTTATAAGAATTGCAAATATTCAACAAATTCAAATACAAATTCTCATACAGAATGATTTTTTTTCTTTTTTTTTCTCAACATTGTCTGCTGAAGAGTGCTTTCTTTCACGTCCGCACTTCTATCGAGTATGGTATGCCAAATAAACAAGCGTGTTCTATTTTTCCATATTCTGTAATTCTATTGGCCATTTTTCTCTATCCAGTAAGAAATGTTTATTCTATAAATGATTTTTGTTTTCTAATCGTGCATATGGAAATTTCCTTCTGTATCATGATTTCGACATGATAGATTTTTTTTTCTGTATCAAAGACATATGTATGACGACACTACCCAGTAATACAACCTATCCCCCCTTTCCCCTCCCCCGAATCTGTCACTGTACTGCACAAATAATACATTTATCAAGCTGTTTAAAACCAAACAGGGGGGAAATTATTTTACATTCTTTGAAATAATTTGGATATCTGAGATAATAAATCAGTAGATAGGGTGACATTACATGTATTTGGTTTGTAGATATGAGGTACCAGTACTGCAATCTAATTAAGGTAGCTGTAGTAATTTGTAAAAAGTAGTTTTGTAAGAGAGATCTGAAAACTAATAGAAAAAAAATCGACCTCCTGAACTAGATTTTATCCTTGATAGACCAACTGTCCAACAAAATATAAAATATTGCCTATTTATCAACTATTTTTGAGAATATTAAAATATATTTAACATTTATTGGTAGTGAACAAAAAATGCTATACCCCCAAAAATTCAAAGACAATGTTATCCGTCCTCGAGTATCAGTCAAATAGCCCTTACCAAACAATTGAAGTTTTAAATTGCAATGAATTATGGATCTTAAAAATCTGAAACCGAAGACGTAGTAAATATAAAAAAGAAGATGTGGTATGATTGCCAATGAGACAACTCTCCACTAGAGAGCAAATAACACAGAAATTAACAACTATAGGTCACCATACGGCCTTCAACAATGAGCAAAGCCCATACCGCACAGTCAGCTATAAAAGGCCCCGAAATGACAATGTAAAACAATTCAAACGAGAAAACTAACGGCCTAATTTATGTACAAAATATGAACGAATAACAAATATGTAATACATAAACAAACGACAACCACTGAATTACAGGCTCCTGACTTGGGACAGGCACATACATACAGAATGTGGCGGGGTTAAACATGTTAGCGGAATCATAACCTTCCCCCTAACCTGGGACAGTGGTGTAACAGTACAACATAAGAACGAACTATAAAAATCAGTTGAAAGAGGCTTAACTCATCAAATGGATAAAAATACAAATACTACAAATACAAGTGGACGTGGCCGGGTACTTGTACATCCAAACAACAAAAAGACACTAAGTACAGATCTGAGAGTACTCGCAGCTACTGACAGCTAGTTCAAAGCCACTAACAACTAATAGAAAAAACATGACCTTGTGTAATGCCAAGATACAGGTATCGACAGATTGTAGATCCATGAATGTGTATATTTATATAACAATAATATTTAGTTTGCTTTTAATTTACTGATCAAAACACCAATTTTTACAAAATCAATATTAGTACCAATAAAAACAATATTTAATGATCTAATTACAGTGTTGAATTGGTAACCTTTTAGAATAAGTTTATTTAAAGGATCGATAAGTTTACCAGGATCGTTTCTAAATTTCCGGGCACGGTAAACAATATTGCCTTAAAAATGAGGATGTGCAATCCCGTTTGAAATAAGTTTTCTACAGGTACAACCAAACTTCAAAACCAAATTTTTATATCTTTTAGAAGAATTTAGTAAAGGTTTTAAGTAATTTGTGGTAATGAAATCCCTGGCTTAATAATTTACCAGTAATACATAGATTACAATCGTTAAAATCAAAAACGTCACAACAGACACGGGCATAGCGAACGAGTTGTGAAATATAAACACCGTAAGATGGTGCCAAAGGAACATCACCATCCAAAAAGGGAAAAATTAACAATAGGGAACGAAAAATCGTCCCTTTTGTCGTAAATTTTAGTGTGGAGTTTCCTGTGTAAAACCGAAATATCTAAATCTGGAAAGGACAGTTGTTACCGTTTAAATTTGATTTATTTAAAGTAAGTTCCTTTGGGTAAATTTTGGCTGTATATTGAGAAAATTCTTGATTATTTAACGAAAAAATGTCATCAAGATAACGGTAAGTATTGTTGAATTTATCAATTAAATGCAATTAAGACGGGTCTTTACTGAGTTTGGTCATAAACTGTTATTCATAACAGTACAAAAACAAGTCTGCTATTAAAGAGGCGCAATAAGTGCCCATAGGAATACCTACAACCTGTAGATAAACTTTGTTGCCGAAACGTACATAAACATTATCAAGGAGAAAATTAACAGCTTCAATCATCTCATCACACCTCCAGTAAGTATATCTAGCATATTTACCTTTCTCATTAGAGAAGAAGGCTTTAAATGAGTTGCAGCAAATATATTTGCATTCAGATTTACCAAAGTTGACCTTCGACTCATTTAATTGGCTATTATTTTAAAGTCCTTTTGGTCATATTTCTGATTTGTTGTTTTCAATTTGTTTTCCACTATTGCAGAGCTATTTGTTGTCAATGGTCATCTTGGTCTGACCTCTGTCACGAACTGTTTTATCAGTGTTGTAATGTGTAATCATTTCGAAC